TTATCTTCAGACCACAATGCGTGCTTCTTACTGGAAATATAACACAGGTGCCAACACTAAGCTTTCCTTCCTATGTCTCTTCCTTGATCTCGTTCTCTTTACCATCGATGCTCTTTTCTCCTACAGCTTTTCTAGTCACTGCTTTTTGTCAGACACTGGCTGGTACACCGAATGATTTTATTGTTATAAATGAACAATCTTCAAGTCAAACTGTGCCCCACAGGTCCCTGGTCCCCAGGCTTCACACACACACACACACACACACACACACACACACACACACACACACACACGACGGTTTCCTGTCCTACATTTAGTTTTTTGTTATTTGAATCTGAAGAGGGAAGTGATACCACACAGTTGTGCAATTCTCAGGATACGTTCATTGTACTTCATACCACAACGATTCTCTGAAACGGCATTTTTTATACAAAAAATTACAAGAATATGGTGTATAAGAGATGGACCCAGGGAAGGAACTAGATAATACATTTATCAAAGGGAAAATGAAAACAGGTTAGATCCTGAAACATGGGAAGTCATCAGAACAAAGGGGAAATTCAAACTACCCACACCAGAAGGATTTTTAAAATAACTATCCCAAGGAATGCAATAGAGGCAAACGTGCATCCTACTGCAGGTGTTCCCAGACTTGCAGGTAGTGCTAGGTCCTGACTGTCCTGACTGGGCGCTGGGCCTGGAAGCTGCCGAAACATCGGGACTATATCCAGCTCAGGAAAAGATTAAAATTCAAAGTATAGTCTCTAGTGAATGTATCATTTTCACATCATTGAAAAGTTGAAATTATTTTTATGTTGGGAACCATTAGTGGTTCATGACAGCACTGGAGCACCCATCAAGATTATACGCATACATGAGACCGACCCAGAATTGCAAGAGAGATATATCAATCAACCAGTCAATTTATACTTTCCTATTCAAGGCAGAAATTCTAAGTGGAAATCCATTTATGGTTTCTCAATTCAAAATAAATGGGTACAGTATTCCTCACCAGAATGCTACATCCTGAATGCTGGGATTATAGGCATGTGCCAGCACATTTTAAGAAACAAAGACAATGGTTAGCCAGAGATGTTCAAAACCAGTTACCCAAAGTCAGCTGTGTGAGAGATATATGGAAGTACTGGGAACATGTCAATGTTAGAGGCTCATTCAAAATTCTCCAGCCAGTATCTTCAACCCTTCATAGCAAGTAGGGAAGTCAGAGAGCCCAAACACTAACTTAAATTCCTGCTTTGTGACATTCTTCTAAGAGACTGGATTAGAAACGTGCAAAAAAGGCTTTGGTGGATGTAGGGCATGGTGGTGCACACCTTTAATCCCAGCACTCAGGAATTCAAGGCCAGCCTTTACAGAGCACATCATAGGACAGCCAAGACCACACAGAGAAACCCTGTCTTGAAACAAAACAAAACAAAACAAGTGGGTTTTGTCGACAACATTGGGCACAGTTGGAGATCTCTTGCACCTGACTCTACATCCAACTATTAGAAAGACAACAGCATTATGCATTGGGAACCATGTTTTCAGAACATTCTCCAAGGACTCTTTAGTTATCAAATGAGTAACTTTATATGTAGGGCCCAAGAGCTCCTTACTAGACTATCCTGAGATCAAGAACAATGGCTGCCTGGCTTTATTTGTGAGGAATGATTGGCACCCAGGGTCCTTAAATCCTTTGGTGCTTCAATCCAACACTGAACAAAACAACTTTCTATGATAATACTTTTTTGTCTGTTCTATCCAATAGGGCAGAGACTAACCACATGCAGCTACTGGACATCTGGAATATGTGTCTAAGGAACTGTTATTTAAATTTAGTTACATGTGACTAATCACTACCTATGGATAGCACAGTTCTTAAGTCAATTACAAATGAGTGTCAGTTTGGGAGTGGGAGTAAGGAGAGATGCTCTAGCTGACTTGGGACATAAGCCACATACAAAATGCAAGCAACTCTTCGGCTTTGGCTGCTGCTGTGTAGGTATCTCTAGTAACTTCAGACTGGTGTTGTTAGACTGTCCAATTTTTCAAACAAAGCCAAAAATCTCGATTCTGATGCTCACGTTTTAACAACTGGCAAGCAGATTTAAAAAAAAATAATTTAAATCATGTTGTGTGGACTGAACAATAATATGCTTGCTGGCATTATCTGTCAGCTTTTAATCTAGGCCAACCCTATCAGCTCGAAGAGAAGGAACTTTTCCAAGGCCAACCTATTAGTTGCAGATCCAAGAATGAAACCGAGGCCTTCTGATTCTGCTGATAGCCTTTCCATTGAGATTCACTATAATGGTAGTGCCATCTGCAGCAGCAGGGACAAAACTCCCTTTATAAGAATTCCAAGGCTGTGAACCAGCCATCTCCTGGAACCAGGCAGGACTTCCAGTGGAGGGACTAACCCTTCGACCTACAATTTGTCCTGCCTACAAAATGTGCTAAGGTAAAGACAGCACAGAAACTGTGGGAGTGACCAACTGAAGACTGGCACAGCTGGGGACCCGTACCCTGAAGGAAGCTCCCCCCAGAGGGCTAGGACCCAGAGGCAGGATACCGAGAGACCTAGGATAGAACCACACATAAATGGTAAAAAAAAAAAAAAATAAAAAATAAATAAAATAAATAAAAAAAAAAGTCAATGAAATGATCTCTAGGGATATTCTGCTATATTCATAGATTGGTGTCTGGCCCAACTGTCATCAGAGGGGCTTCACCCAGCAACTGATGGAAACAGATGCAGACCCACAGCCAAACATAGGAGGAATTCAGGGAAACCTGCAGAAGATGGGGAGGCAAGATTGCAGGACCCAGTGGTGTCAAGGGCACCACAAGAAAATCCACAGGACCTACTAATATGGGCTCACAGAGACTGAACCAACAACCCGGGAGCCTGCATGGGACTGACCTAGGCCTTCTGCCTATGTTACAGTTGTGTAGCTTGGTCTTGTGAGACTCCCTAATAGTGAGAGTAGGGGATATCTCTGACTGTGGTTTCTTTTTTTTTCTTTTTTCTTTTTTTTGGTTTTTTAGAGACAGGGTTTCTCTGTGTTGTTTTGGTGCCTGTCTAGGATTTTGCTCTGTAGACCAGGCTGGCCTCGAACTCAGAGATCTGCCTGGCTCTGCCTCCTGAGTGCTGGGATTCAAGGCATGTGCCACCACCGCCCAGCCTCATCCATCCTTAATAGAGGAGGTGCCTAGTCTCACTACAACTTGATATACCATGGCTGGCTGATATCCATAGGAGGCCCTCCTGTATCTGAAGAGAAACAGAGGAAAGGGAGTAGGTGGGGTGTGTGGGGGAAGTTGGGAGGGGGAGGAAATAGAAAAAGGGGGAAGAGGGGAAACAAAAAAAGAAAAAGAAAAAAGAATTCCAAGGTTGAGCAGAGCCATGTGTGGTGGCCCATGCCTTTAATCCCAGCACTCTGGAGGCAGGGGTATGTGGACTTCTTGAGTTTGAAGCTAGTCTGGTCTACAGAGTGAGTTAAGTTCCAGGACAGCCAGGGCTGTTACACAGAGAACTCTGTCTCAAAAAAACAAAACATAAGGCTGGTATCTTATAAGGTGTTCCTATCCAGATACAGCAAAACTGTTGGACCCCATGGGCAAGTCTCTGTATTAGGAGCCACAGAGACACAAAGAGGAAGCAGTATTTTTGGAAGACAGACGTGTAAACCAACATTTATCAAGAAATCGGGTAAAGCACACAGATTACTTGTATATCAAGAAATCAGGTAATGCACACAGACTACTTGTATACAAATCCCAAAGCACTGACAGCTGAGAGAGCAGGAAGATAAAAGTCAGGGCTTCATGGGACGATCATGAGAGCTGATCCTATTGTTTAAGGATATCAAGCGAACCTCCTCATCTTTGAGGTGTTATTCTTGTTGAGCTTTCCTATCGGCTTCTACCCCTTCTGGGTGGTCTTTAAATGTGAGGAGACCTAAGGAATTCGTGAACTTTCCTGTCTACTCCCCATTCCTAGCTCTAGGAATAAAGTCTACATTTATTATCTCCACCCATGACTTTTCTTCCAACTTGTCTACTTCATTTCTGGACATCTTCATTCGGGCTGTAAAATAACTTCTGACATACCTTCAAGAGAACTTAAGACTATTCCTTTCCAAACTGTTTTCTCTAGGGAAACATCTCTGGTTCCACCCTCTTCCACACACTTCCTATCCAGCTCAGCAGTCAGCCCGGTATGCCCAAGCTCCCCAATATTCTGAGTCAATTTTCTTCTTCCAGCACTGCTGTCCCTCTCCTATGGCATCAGCAAACAGCCTCTTCAGAGGTTGAACTACCTTCTCTATCCAGCAGCAATTTTAAAAAAATGTAAATAAGGTCTGGTCAATCTATACTTCAGGAAGTAGTAATACAAAGGCCAAACCCTTGTATTTCTGCAACTCCAAGCCTTCAATCTCTTCGGTCTTTTGTTCCCAACGTTATCCCTTTAGCACTTTTTCCCACCAAGACAGTTCTTCCCTTCTCCCGTCCTCTCTCTTAAACTCCGGAGAGGCTTTCTTTCCACTCCATCCAGCCTTTGGGGCAGCTGTATCTTCTGCACTCATTTACTTATTAATGACAAGTTCACGATCAAGGCTTCCTTCTTTTTCTCGTTTGCTCATCGGTAAATGAAACTAGCCTTCATGGTCCCCTGAAGGCTGACTACTACATCCGGGTTCGTTTGGGTGGCCCTTCTCAAGGCAGGAACCTCTCCAGCCTCCCAGAACTGCCCCGGTCGCCTTCCATTTACATTCGAAAAGTCTGAAGGGTCCCATGCCAGGGCTCGCCCACGTGCCACTTCCCTTAGGCAGGTCTCCCGAGGCCAGCAGCGAGGCCAGCGAGCCGCCCTCGCGAGGCTGGGGTCACACAGGCGCGTCTCCTAGCAACCCCACACCCTCACCTCATCCCTGCCCCAGGGGAGCCAACCCCTTTCCCCAGTCCCCCGCGACCGGAGCCGGCGTCTCCATCCTTACACTCACTCTGCGTCAGTCCTGCCTTCCCCCACCCACAGGAGCCGGCTGGGAGGAGGCGGTGCCAGGAGCTCTGCCGAGCCTTGGCTACACCGAGCTCCATCCAGCAGGTCCGGTAGGCCAGGCCGGGCCAAACCACCGGGGCGGACCGCTGTGGAAGCATGAGACCCAGGTCAGAGGTCTTCTCCAGCCTCCTCAAACTTCCAGCTCCAGCCCACTCCTCGCCGCACTCAACAACAGCCGACCTCCCTCTCCCCCTGCTTTCCCTTCACCCTTTCGTTATCCCCTTCCCCCATTTCCAGTTAGAAAATGGCCCGGCCCAGCTCCTCGTAGCCCACCCTCCGCCGCTCCTCTCCTTGCCCTTACTTGGAGACGGCTTCGGACGTCCGCGCGTGCGTCGTGACGTCACCCTCCTCGCTCCCGTCCCCGCCCCTCTCCCATTCTCTCCCTCCTGGAGCCAGCGGCCGGCGGGGTTACCGGAAGTGATGATGCAGGAGCCGATGGAGGGGGCGGGGCTTCGGGGCGGCCGCCGCCGGTGGGCCGCAGATGAGGAGGAGGCGGCGGCCGCGGTGGCAGAAAAGGCGGCGGCGGCGGGGATAGGGAGCCTGGAAACGCAAGCGGGGATGGTAGGTGGTTTGGACCCGCCGGGCCGCCGTCGTTTCCAGAAAGGGTTTGACTGGAGGAACCTCTGGAGCAGCTGTGAGTTTGGATGGGGGGGAGGGAGTTGAGGAAAAGGGGGGAGCATTGAGAGATGAAGGGGCGGGGGTTCGGTTCCTTCGAGAAAGGGGGTGGTGGTGGAAGGGGAGGAGTGCAAATCAGCGCCTTGTCTGGACTGGTCCCTCTGGAAGAAGAGGCTGTGAGGGGAGCCTGTGGCGTGTCAAGCGCAAGGCTCAGAAAACTTACCTACTGTCCCCGCCTGCCCATCGCCAGCACCCCTCAATCCCGGGCCTGGGGACCTGGGGCCGTGGATGCCCGGGGAGAGGCTGCAGACTCTGAACTGAAAGTCCAGGGTAAGAGCCGTGAGGTAGGAGCCCAAGGGGGAGGTGGCGGGTGAATCTCCAGCTCCCTCCCTGATTTTCCTCCCCACCCCCATTCTTCTCTATAATCGTTAACAGCCCTGGAATTAAGGGGCTCAGACCTGAAGGCCTTTCTATGCACCTTTGCAACAAACGATAACCATCTGTGTCTGAGGTAAATGGGGTCGGAGGCTTTGCCTATATCCTGTTTAGGAAGTGGGACGGGGTGACAAATGTATTGTTTTTTCCATTCCCACCTCTTATCCTCCCCTATACACACCCCTGGGTCTACTTTAATTCTCTGAGGTTGGGTGACAGTCGTGGTCACCCTCTCCCCTTTGTGGCACTTAGTGCCTTGGTTACCTCTTTTGAATTTTGTGTTCAGCCTCTATCCCAGCTCCGAACTGCAAGCTTTGTAGTACTTCAGTTATGGTCTGTGTCACATTGGGGAGTACCTCACAACGCCGCCTGGCTCCTGATTATAATGAGCATTTTCTTTTATGAATACTGGAATTCCAGAGCTCTTGCAAGGATTCATAAATGGCATCATAGCCCAGGAATCAAGGTCTCTCGCTCTAAATACTTTATGTGTGAGGAATTTACATGTTGTCAACTCTTTCCAAAAATGATTTGATGTTAGGCTAATTCTGGATTTCTGTGTTTCTCTCCACCCACACTTCATGATGCACTTCTGAGAACAGAAAACCCCATATTACTTTTTTTGTTTCTACAATTGGACAATAGCTCTTTTATCTCCTTCTTGATCTGTGTGTCTGGCACACTTGTCTTTAGTGACAATGGACTTGTACTGATTTTTATCTTATTTAACTAATGCTTTGTGTATAGGTGGTCTTATAGGAGACAGTGTGATGTATAGTTTTGTTTTTAGCAGAATGCAAATCCATAATGGTATGGAAATGTTTGAAGAAAGAAAGAATAATTGGAAAGATTTATTGTTTATATTGTTTAAAAAACAAATAAAAAACCACCGAGTAAGTAGTGCCTCCTCTAGCCTCTCATAGGGATCTCAGAGTAAAGTGTTAATGATTCTTATTTTACACTTGATACATTTAAAAAAAAATCCTGTTGATTATGGAACTGTCTTATAAGAAACTTTATGCTTTAAAAATAGTGCTAAATTTTTGACTAGAAAGTGCATACATTTTGCTCTGTCACTGAATTTGATGTGTAGTATCACTAGGATTATCATAACAGATGTTCTTCTGATTCTGGGAAGAGAGTCCCATCATATTTGAGGGCCTTCAGGCCTGATAAAACAGAGTACTTAATGCCTTGATTGTGCAGTTATAGTGTTTAGATGGTTTACAGGAATAAAAGAATTACCTCTAGTTGCACTTTAATTCATTTGGAACCTAGTTTGCCATTGAATGAAAAGTCCAAAATTCATCCATTTAAGACTGGCTATTAAGTACTAGTCAGTGTTTCAGATGCTGGGTGTACAAAGATGAACACAAGGAAAGGGTGCACTCTCATGAAGTTTATCAGAGTGGGAGGTGGGGACAGAGATAATAAATAAGCAAATCTGATTTTGATTAAATGCTGAAGGAAGTGAGTGATGGGATGGAAAGTGTGACTGGGATGCAGTTGTGAAGGGAAACCTTCCTGTCAAGTGACACTTAACAGAACTTGAAGTGCAAAGGAGCCAGCCATGCAGAGATGAAGGGAGGACTCTTGGAGGTGTAGGGAACAGCTTGTGCAGAAACTTGCTGGAATGAACTTGGCAAGTTTTAGGGACTGGGGAGAAGAGAGTGGGGGTGGAGTGTAAGTTTAGTGAGTAAAAGGTTGAATGAAGTAGGGTCAGAGAAGCGGAGTTGGGACTCAGGTAGACAAAATATGAGTAAGTAGGAGGAAGAAATAGAAAAACTATTTTTTGGCTAATTCTGTTGCCTTTCCTAGGGCCTTTATCATTATTTTTGCAGGTTCTGCTGGACTATTGTAATTAAAAACAAAGGCAGCTCACCCAGCTGAGAGCAGTCGAGAGGTGCAGCAGTGGTCACTTGGGCTGTGTGTTTAGGAATAAGCAGGATGTTTAATTGAGGGCACACCTGTTCCCATCAAATATTTTGCTGTATATGTGACTGTTTAAAATTGCATAATAAGTACTCTGAATGTGTGCTGGTATTGACCTCTTCCATCTCTGTGTGAAATCAAGGTTGAAGGATTGGGCATGTGTTAATAATATGTTGATCTACAAATGACCATCCGGAGCTAAGTTTCATTTTTTTTTTTTTTTTTTTTTTTTTGTGGGGAGGCAGGATTTGTGTTGCAATAGTTCCGCTCTTGCCTGGGCCTCCTGGTGAGTAATAATATTCCGAGAGGTAGGTTGGTGCTAAAAGTTCACTCAGGATCACATTAGATAAAGACCATTGTGGGGCCCATTTCCCTGTGGCACCATCTTTGGGTTGGCATATATAGCTGAGGGATGTAACGTACTTTTGCCTTCATTTGGGGGCATTCATCTTCAATTTAACCTTATCTTGGACAGATTGTCCACTTACTTGAGAGGCTTAAGATATCACCTTGAGCCGGGCGGTGGTGGCGCACGCCTTTAGTCCCAGCACTCGGGAGGCAGAGGCAGGCGGATCTCTGTGAGTTCGAGGCCAGCCTGGTCTACCAAGTGAGTTCCAGGAAAGGCGCAAAGCTACACAAAGAAACCCTGTCTCAAAAAAACAAAAAACAAAAAACAAACAAAAAAAAAGATATCACCTTGATTTAGCCCTCTTGAGCTGTATCACAGTAGGCTAAAATGGAAAGAGTATTTTTTCCTTCTCAACATCACAAAAGTGAGGGGAGTGTTAATCAGTCTTTTGAGCTAGGCAGTTGAGAGACATAAATGTTGCTTAGGCTGTAGTAAACTCAGTCTTATAAATGCTAAATAAAACCTTTTGATGTTCGGTAAAGGCAAATCAGAAACGGTGGACTTGGTTTAGGTTCTAGTACTGTAATACTACCTGCAGGTGGCTCCTCAGAACTAACTTGGGTAGAGCTTTCTGTGTTGTCCTGGGTTAAGGAAGGTACACAGCTTGTTACCGGAATGCTAACAGCAAATCTTCGTTTGTAAGTAGGTGACTAATGTGAGCTGTGAGGACGTGGCAGATGAGAGAGGCCTGTACATCTCTATGACTTAGGCCAGGCTGAAGAGCTTGCCCCTGACTTCCGTGTCCGACTGCCGGCATGCAGTGCTCATTTGGTAGTAAGCAGTCTACTGTTTCTCTTCATTTCAATGGTTTATTACAACTCAAGTATGAAAACATTGTCTAGGCTGACATTTCATCAACCAGTTTGGAGTCTACCTTTTTGTTTTTGTTTTTTTGTTGTTGTTTTTCGAGACAGGGTTTCTCTGTGTAGCTTTGGCTGCCACCTTTCCTGGAACTCACTCTGCTCTGTAGCCCAGGCTGGCCTCGACCTCACAAAGATCCGCCTGCCTCTGCTTCCCAAGTGCTGGGATTAAAGGTGTGCCCCACCCGCTCAGTTGGAGTCTACCCTTTGGAAGGGGATAGAGATGGGTAGGAAGGGACGTGAACACTGGGAGAAGCCCTTAATCCCTACATTGAACAGTAATTGTGTTTGGGAAATGAATCCAAATCTAAGTGAATTTGGAGTCTTGGAGCTGAGTTGGCCTTTTGACCTATGGTGCCAGTCAATTTGTTTCTTAAGGTTTGGGAGGCTTTTAGACACATTCCAGTGAAAGGCGAAAACCTAAAAAACAGCTGGTGCCACTTGCCTTTGAATTTGTGAGTAAGTTGTTTTGCATTGCCTTAGATGGTTTAAAGTTAATCTGACTTTACTACTGTCTTGATACGTGTTCTGTGGTGAGGAGAGTTAATTGTACACTGGCTGCCAGTTGTTTTGAGGTGAAGAAGTAGTAACTCAGATTGAAACAATGGTCATTATGTGGTGACTACCATTTCTCTAACTCTTGATAACTTACAATTACTCTTTGTGTCTGTTTACAGATGTTCAGACCAGTGTACCAGGATCAGTTCTTCCTAATGTTGGAACAGTGTTCTTAGCTCTTCCCACAACAGACCAGGTCGATTGACTTGAGTCGATGGTCCCTTAGTTCACATCTAGTATCACGAGTTCTTGTACTTCTTTTTCTGACAATGAAAGGTTTTATTTCTTTGGGGGCCAAAAAGGAGATTTGAGTGAGAGTAACATCAAAAAGTGATGCAA